TGGGAGAAAGCAGCCCGATGGGTGAAGAGGAGGGTATCGATGCGGAAATATTGACAATTCGATTGCTACCATTTTCTGAGCTACGTCCACAGATCAAACACATTAAAATCTTGTTTGCAAAGAGCAAAGCAGAGCAACCAGCTTAAACTATTTCTGGACAGAGCAGCTGAATCCCTGTCCGAGCGTGAAAAGCCTATCGCTCTGAAGTCGTACAAGTGAGCGACTTTCACAGGGAACCAGGGAAGAGGGATACTCTACGTTAAACCCGATACCCTGCTAAGCATATAGTGTTCCCCAAGAAGCTGAAGAATGCAAGTTTGTCACCAATACCTCCACCCACGTAGCTGCTGGCTGCCGAGTAGCCATAATAATATGTGTGTTTTCTTTTATAGGAACAGAGCTGTGTGCAGGAGAAACCCTATGTAGTTTGCTCTGCAAATCAGAAAGCTCAATGAGGGGACTGCCAGGGGCTGGAAGAGGTACAGGATTGTATCCTTCACCTAAGCTGACCTGGCATGGCTCCAGGGAGGGAAGGAGCTGGGTGGTCCTCCCTACCGTCTTTTTGCCCACCTCCTTCTACTGTACAGCACATGACAATGTGTTGGTTTATTTCCCATGCTTCTCAAACATGTCTGTTTCTGCTCACAGTAGACTCTACTGTGGATTTGCAGATTTCACTAAGCCAAAGACATTCCTAACACTGGGAGTAAAAGGATGTAACAAACATTTGCTTTGGGTAAGTAATAACCTTTTCTGAATGTAACAAAGAGTACCTTGGTTTTGAAAAAAAATGCTTAAAAAAGAACTTATTCTGGTTCACAGTCACTACTTCTTTCCCAAACTCCATCAGAGAACCTCAGCTAAGGCCATTTGCTTCTAGCTGGAAGAATAGAGGAAGACTCCATTAGGAACAATACTCATTAAAACTAATACTGTCCAGCACCCTCTGTTAGGTGCATCTCACTATGAAGCTGCATTTTGACACGCGTTTTGCAGAACATGTATTGGCTCACGGTTTAGTGACCTGATTCACTGCTCACCAAGTTCCAGCTGATCTAAGGGACAGAGCTGGTTGTAGCTCAGGTCAGCTTTAGCAGTGGCAGATAAGATTTCAAGCTCGATGATTTGGTTTCATTGGCATGCTCCGAGCCTGAGCCTCAGAGGAAATCAGACTCCTAAGTCACCGCTTTGTAGGTTTTCATTCAGATAAAATTCATTGGATAACCACCAGCCACAGAAATATGCTCAAAACCAGCCTGTCCATGTTAATGTCTTAGCACTAAGAAGTCATCTTCAGGGGACAAGGCACTTTGCAAACCTTTCCCAAAGATGCCTTCCTGGGAAAAGTCAACACAAGGCATTGCTGGTATTTCTCATTCAAGCGCACAATGTAATTGATAAATCTCCATCAGGAAATACACCTACACATAGAAGAAGGCCTGCCATAATGCATCTTTCCAAGAAAACAACAGGTCTCAAGATGCTACGGTTCTAGAATAGGTGAAGTTAACAAACACTGTGACCTGTACTGACACCAGAAAGACGAGACACCTTAAAATCTGTCAGGTCTTTAGAAATACAGACATGTGTTAGGAAGCCACTCCTTTCACTCGTTAAGGGTTCTCACTCATTAAAGGCAGTCAAGGAGAGTCCAGAAGAGATGGAGGGACAGGGCAGCAGTGCCTGTGAGCCCCCGTGCTCTGCAGGCTGGCAGGGTGGAGGTGGGCGAGCAGAGGGAGGATTTCAGGTACTTACCCTGAATCTGACTCTGAGGCTGAGGGTTAAAAGCAGTGGTGTGGTTCAAGGAGGCTCGTGGGTTGGGTGTGGGGGCTGGGTGGTGTGGGCTGACCCTCATGGCCGTACGACGCAACTGCTCCAGTTCACTCAGGCGCTCTGAAAAGGACAAGCTCCCGGGCTTTGTCTGCTCATCTATTTTCTGACGATGTCCTATTGTGGGAGGGGGGGGAAAAAGATCAGAAAATCTCACTGACACATGAGGTCTGTTGACTTATTTTCTTTTTAATTTTTTTTCTCTGTTTTTTTTTTAAACCACTTATCCACTGGTCAAGTACCTAACCAGCTAGTGGCTAACTGAGATTAAACTGAAACCACCTCTCTGGAAGAACAGGAGACACAAGAAAGTCATGCATTTTAGCTCTATCGTGGGGCAGCCCAAGACATGACCTAGTCTGTAGAACCAGATCCACTGAAAATTGTGGGGCCTTCTTACACCTCACTCTGGGAGAGAAAGCGTTTCTGAAAGGAAAACTCTCTGCGGGGATGCATAAAAGGAGGAAACATCAAATGGTCCCTGTGCTAAACCTGTGCTGGAATAACACCTCAAAAGTTCAGTCCCAGATTGTCATAAGGTAGTGTAATTAGACAAGTACTATGGGGCTATAAAAACCCACAAACTCAAACAAATCCCATTTTTGAAACCTTTTGCAGTGGATTTACAGATAGAAAGCTGGCAGAATTGAAACTGGAGTAATGAAGTCTCTCTTAGAGGCATCAGGAGCTTCAGAAACACGAGGTTCCACCAGACATCCGAGTATAGGAGAGTAGATGCTCACATTACAGCATCAGCCAATGCACTGCAGACTTGTCCGTGTCCATGAGGGTCCACGACTCCCCAGGGCAACCCCTAGAGCATGGTTACAGAGAAGCTCTGGTACTACAGCCCCACAGGGCTGGGAGGGGACAGGGAAGGCACTGGAAAGGCTCATCTCTGGCACAGCATCAGGGCACATCCAGATTCAACTGGAAGGATGGATATATATCTCATCATGGGCAAGACTGGTTTCAAGAGAAGCCCAAGCTAGCAGCAGTGAGTGATATGCAAGGACTAAGGTAATGCATTTCTAGCTGTTGCCTGTGGCTGCTCTCTGCACCAGGATCCTTTGTGTGTCAATCTGCAACCACGAAGGCAGCACACAGAGCATGCAAGAGAGATATCTCATCTGCTGGAGCACTTGCTCTGGTAGGCATGACAAAAACAGATTTTAAATCCTTTTCCTGCCTTCTTAAGACTTAACCTAGTGTCACAACTTTGCAAACCACTTTTCTATCCACTGGTTTCCAGACTTATGAGATATCCTTCAAAGGTGTGTATCTTATCCTGGAAGGCTGATGACACCACATTTTGGGGCTGAACTAGAAACCTCCCTAGCAGACTTGTGTTTGGTGACATTTCTGAAATGGGATGGTCTGGCGGCATTCCCAACCAGCCCAATCAAAACTTTCTTTTGCAATTTTCCCCTATCTCCCAATAGGGCTTTTTCCTCTTCAAGATCACAGAAAACAGCCCTTTAGCAGAAAGCCCAAAAGCAGGTTATATCTGGCACACAAGTCGTCTTTTCAAAGACATTCTCTCCAAACAGAAGGCAAGATACTGCCTACAGTGAGCCTATTAGAATATACACTGACTTCTCCTCTATTTAGTCAATGGAGTATGATCCCCAGCTCAAAAAAATGTCATTTTCATACCATCTGCTTGGGGATCTTCTCACGGAGCCGTAGATGTTATCATTCCTCCTTTCCACCCATACCCAATCCCATTTCTCCACATTGCATTTGTCTCAGGAAATCAGCTGCCTCCTGAATCACTGTGCTTACCCCTTGCCCTTCTTCCCATAGGACACTGTTACCCTGACAGGAATGCATGTCAAATCTCTAGCCCAGAGGTCAAGCATCTTTTTTTCTACTTGCTCCCTTGAAGAAAGTGGCATTGCCCTTGGTTTCTTTGGAACACCATAGTTTGCTGTCTATCTGCTCTCAATTGTAGTTTCCTTGTTAGGAAGAGTTGCCCTCTGCAGCTTTCTTTGCATCTCCATCCTCTCTGCAACTAGGTGCTCAGTGCTGTCCCTGTGGTGAGTCCCCTCTCAACTCACAGCCACAGCAGTGAAACAGACTGGCACAAAACTCTTGAAAATAGTCCACTGTGCCCTATTCCATGTATGTCCATAGTATTAAAAACATAAACATTCATAAACATCCAGCTTCCAATTCTGAGTATCATTGAATAAGCAGTAAAAGATCTCTGAAGAGCTCAGTATGCACCTTACTCTACAAAGTAGTCTTCCAAGCCACCCTAACAGCTCAATCAAGACACAGGACCATTTTATGCACTAAAAGGAAAGTGTGCATTTAAAAGCAGTTCCCAGTAGCTACATTCCTAAAATTAAATTTTATAACTTGTATTATGGTTCCAAATCACAGTGGCTTGGCATTTCTTCCTGTTGCCAGGCCCTTTGGCACAGCTTGAACTGTCTCAGATTCCACACTGTGCTGTAAATTATCCCAAGAGGGGGGGAAAAATATTAAAATATAAAAAGACATATTATATAGAAGTGTTTTCTTCATTAAAGAGACCCATTAGGGCTTCCAAAAAGAAAACAAAAAAAAAGTAGGGGAGAAGTGAAGAGTGAGATGAAAAAGACTTTTATCTGGCATTCTGGCTGGTCAAGAACAAGTGCTTCATTTGCCAGCAGTGCAAAGCTGGATGCTGCTTCAAGTCGTGGGCTCTTGACCCTGGACTTGAATGCAAACATGCGGAGTCATACAAGATGTGTAAAATACCTCATACATTTGGATTATTTTAAGCCTCGGCAGGCTGAACCCAGGGCTTGCTGAGTCAAGACACAGATCCTTCCAAATCCATCCCCCACGATACAATAATTTATTCCTAATTTCAAATTCTGCTCAGACATCTTCTCATTTTAAGTGAGTACACCAATGCTGTGTTTGACTCCCCGCTACCCTACCCGCTCCTCTCACCTCCCTGGTGCCGCCTTCCCAGCATCTGGAGTTTTGCCTGCCTGGCATGAATCCAAGTGTCACAGAATCACAGAATCACAGAATATCAGGGGTGGGAAGGGACCTCAAAAGATCATCAAGTCCAACCCCCCTGCCAGAGCAGGATCACCTACAGTAGGTCACACAGGAATGCATCCAGGTGGGTTTTGAAAGTCTCCAGAGAAGGAGACCCCACAACCTCTCTGGGCAGCCTGTGCCAGTGCTCTGTCACCCTCTCAGTGAAAAGGCTTTTCTACTGTTTTTGTGGAACCTCCTATGTTCCAGCTTTCATCCGTTGCCCCTTGTCCCCGCTGTATCACAGCAATGTGAACCCGTGCGCTACAACAGCCTCACATGGAGGTGAACAGTTCCTCTGAAGCCAACCGGACAGGGGCTGCACTAAGGCTGCCAAGGAAGGAATTAACTTTCCTGCTCTGAATCTACCTTGGTCACAAAATTTTTGTTGAGCTGGCACACGACG